GAGAAAGGAGACAACGAAAATGATCCACAACTGGGTACTACACTAGAAAACCTTGGTTTCTGCCATTATCAACTAAAAGAATACGACAAGGCTAAAGCATACAATGAGAGAGCACTGTCCATTCGCGAGAAAGGAGACAATAAAAATGATTTACAACTGGCTAGTACGCTAAATAACCTTGGTTTCTGCCTTAATGAACTAAAACAACACGAAAAGGCGAAATTGTGCTTGGAAAGAGCACTGACAATTCGCGAGAAAGGAAACAATAAAAATGATTCACAACTGGCTAGTACGCTAGAAAACCTTGGTTTTTGCCTTAATAAACTAGAAAAATACAAGGCCAAAGTATACCTGGATAGAGCACTGTTCATTTATGAGAAAGGAGACGATGAACTATGATTCTCATACTCGTTAATAATACATGAGTAAACCATCCAATCAATGGGCTATTTTTGGGTCACATGATGTTACTTGAAATCTGGTAAAGTGCTGTGAAAGGAATGCATTCAGTCTGGAGTAACTGGAACAAAATTAATGAGATGAGAAGTCATTTCAAAGCCTTTCAATTCGTTTCCATTGATGATTTTTCCTCTGAAGCCCTTCAACTTGATTGTGGTGTACCTCAAGGTTCCGTACTTGGTCCTTTGTTGCATCTCTTTATACTTCTCCAGTAGCTGATACCCTTCGACTACACAGAATGTCTTTCCACCTCTATGCCGATGACACTCAATTATATATTCCTTTCTCCTGTAATGATGATTTGTCCCTTAATGATTCCATGAAACTGATTGAAAACTGTCTATCTGATATTGATGCTTGGATGTCTACAAATAAATTGAAATTAAATAAAGGAAAAACTGAATGCCTGTTACTTTCTTCAAAGCACAGTCCACAGTTAACTCTTCCTTCTCTTCAATTTGGTTCTGATGTGATAAYGCCCTCAATGCATGCTCGGAACATCGGTGTAATATTTGATTCAATATTTGACAATTGTAACTCTCTGCTCTTTGGTTTACCCAACAAACTTCTTGATAAACTACAAACTGTACAAAGTGCTGCTTCCATAATCATCTCTCTTTCCCAATAAACATGACCACATTACACTCATTCTTGTTAATCTACACTGGCTACCAATTGAATCTAGAATTAAATATAAAATCTTACTACTTACCTTCAAAGCTTTTCATGGCCAATATCCTATCTATATTCGGGAACTCATTTCAGAGTACGAACCTCCTCGTAACCTTCGTTCTCCAGCACAATTTCTTCTATCAGCACAGTTTTACAATCTCAAATCATATGGTCATCGCTCCTTCTCTGTAGCTGCTCCTGAACTCTGGAACTCTTTGCCAATATCTCTCCGAAATGAATCAAGTCTGGCCACATTTAAAACTGCACTTAAGACTTACCTTTTTAAAATAGCCTATTCTATTTTTATTTATTTCGTTTATTAGCGTTAAGAACAGATTTGTATTTGTGCTTTATAAATAAATATTATTATTATTATTATATTATTATTATTATATTATCATATTATTATTGACCTGACATACTCCGTCAAGTAACCCAAGCAAGAGACAAAGGAGCAAGCTCATGGCTCAATGCGATACCAATTAAAGAACAGGGACTTACTTTGAATAAAGAAGAATTCAGAGACTCTCTTTGTCTGCGTTATTATAAACCGTTATCAGGTTTACCAAGTACCTGCGCTTGTGGGACCACCTTTTCGGTAAGCCATGCACTATCTTGTAAAAAGGGAGGATTTGTTGCACAGAGACATGACAATGTCCGTGATCTACTTGCCATACTTTTAAACAAGGTTTGCAACAACGTTCAAAAGGAGCCACAGCTTATCCCATTATTGGATGGCGAACAATTTGATCTAAAATCTACGAGCACAAGTCAGGATGCAAGGCTCGACATCAAAGCTGGATCGTTTTGGGCACGGGGAGTAACTGCATTTTTTGATGTAAGAGTATCGCATGTTAATTCCAAGAGCAACCAAAACAAATCCACTTCTACAATCTTCAAAGATCAAGAAAGCGAAAAAAGAGAAAATACCAGCAAAGAGTAATCGATGTCGATATGAGATCTTTTGCGCCCTTAGTTTTCGGTACAAATGGAGAGATGGGGGTAGAATGCCAGATTTTTCTAAAGCACCTTGCTGAGACGTTAACCAAGAAAACAGGGGACACGTATGCAAGTACTATAACATGGATTAGAACTCGATTATCTTTTGAAATAATTAAGTCAGTACACATGTGTGTCAGGGGGACAAGAACCCCTTTTTTTAAGGACAATGAGTTCTTGAATGACTTTAATCTTAACGCCAATGTAGGCGAAATTTAGAATTATTTAGATTTTAATAATAAATGTATAGTTTTAATATAATACTATATCAGTGTGAAGAGCTGCACTCGTGTTTTGAGCTACTGATTTATTTTACAAATTTGTTTTCATAAGTAATTTGTACATATATTTGTTATTTTATATTCATAATCTCTTTTGTATTGTTTTATTAAATTGTATTATTATTATTATTATTATTATTATTATTATTATTATTATTATTATTATTATTATTATTATTATTAATTGGAACAGAATTTCACATAAGGCGAAGGCTTCAAGTCCATATAGCACAATAACATTTTATATTTCTATTTTTTAACACAAATTTCAAATGCTAACAAGTTATTTGGTTATTTTCTAGTCTTCTGTGCTATCCCGAGGAAAAAAACATAGAACATGGATGGTGAGACCGAAATGGTACTCGGGAAGTAGATGTATCTGGTTATATGACTCGTGGAGTGTTGTACAGAAAGAAAGGTTTTTATCTCGTAGTCATAATTCTATAGTTTTTTATACACATATCTTCATATCTTATATATTAGAGGGCCACAGGTTTGTTAGCATATTGCTATTTAGTGCTACCCTCAGTAAATAAAGAGTTTATTAATTATTTATTTATTTAAAGGCACAAATGAATACATTATAAGATAACTATGTCATTTCCCAGAACACCTTTCGGTCTCGACTTCTATGTTCTATGTTTTGAATCCGACAAAGGATTATTATTTTTGCATAAGAAAAGATGGGTTATTGTTTTAACCCCCTGACCAATTCCTCTAGGAAAGCAATGCAGGGGGTCTATACACAAGTTTCGCATTCGATGCATATTGCTGTTTTTAAGACCACAGACTCATTTGCACAAGTTTAGCCTCGTTTATAAGTTAGCTATATTACAGATATCGTTAAACTTCTGTGGAATTTCAACACATTGGTATTGTTTGACTTACACATTCCTTACAGTTAACTTTTGTAAATCGGATTTGCTCGCTAAAGCCTAAAGCTGTAAAAATAAGCCTGTAGTCATAGGACACAGCGGCATCTACCGAATGAGATAATGATAGGCGTACTTTTGAAAAAGGCTTGTCTTCAACAAGACTTAATTGAAACTTTAGTGTTTTTTTAACGAGAAAAGGGACTGTCTAGTGTGTATAAAAGCCACACATAACATCATATTCCTAAAATTTCCCAACGAAAACGTAACAATGTCTTTACAAGTCCCTGTGCATTCAAAATGGCGCCACAACAACACGAGTTGAAGTATTTCAATATAGTTTATAATTTGTGGCTTTTGGTACATGGAAAGTTTACACTGTTCTCCCCACTGAGATTCAAAGTAATCTCTAATTTTCTAAGACATGGAGCTACACAGTTTTCATCCACCTTCGTGAGTAAGCTTACTGTTAAACATGGGATCGCAAAGCCCCAGGTTACAGTCTGTGGTTTCGCATTTTACACATCTGTAAAATGCGAAATGACGGTTTCGTATTTTAAAGATCTGTAAAATGCAAAATCCTCGTTTCACATTTTATTGTTTTGTTTCGTTCTCTTCGCACTCGGTTGCGCAATAAGGCCTTCATATTTTTATCCATCTAATTCTGTGTTTTGGTTCTACTATTCTGGCTTCTTCCCATGATTTCCAGTCCTTCATATTCCTTTCTTTTTCTGTTGGTCTGCGCCAAGTTGTTCTCGGTCTTGCTACTTTTCTCTTTCCTACAAGTACTAAAGAAAGTGCAGTACTCGCACAGTGGTTTTGCGGTCTTGGAATCCTCAAGACGTGTAGCCAGCGTGTCCCGTGTCACAGCACGGCATGCCTGAAAAGCAGTGTTACTGAGTCGTTTACCGTGGATTTCAATCAAAAGTTAAGAATAAGCTTTGTTTTGGGATTCTAGTAATAGTTTTTTTTTGATTGAAGCACTTTTCGAAACATTGAAATTATTTATTTATCTGTTATTGATTTGAAAGACTTGCCAACAAGCGTAACGGCGAGTGAAAAAACATCCGTATTCAAATTAGTCAAACGTCTTCATGTTATTGTAAACATATGCAAATTTGACTTTGAAACATTACTTGACACTGGAAAACTTAAAGTCAGTTTTTGAAACTTAAGGCTGATTCTTTCTTATTTTCTACTTATTAATACAGTATTTTGGTCTCACAGAAGTATTATCACAGAATGTTTTGTATACTCGGAAAAAACGATTATTTATTTTCTCACAAAGACTCTTCGAAATTCTTAGAAAACGCGCTGAAAGGTACGCATGCGCAAACTCTTTTCTCTAGTGTTAGAAAATACGCATATCAAGTATCGCATGATATATGCAGAACTGAACCTCACCTTACCTAACCTCTTCGGCCTACCATAAACCACGAAACGAAACGTAACGAAATAATAAAATGCGAAACTAGGATTTCGCATTTTACAGATCTTTAAAATGCGAAACCGTCATTTCGCATTTTACAGATGTGTAAAATGCGAAACGACAGACTGTAATNATAATAATAATAATATTTATTTATACACGATAAGTTATATACAGCGTAGCTGATGTGGTCGTGTTCTAATCCTAGGTAACCCGAGGCTTTGCGATCCCATGTTTAACTGTAAGCTTACTCACGAAGGTGGATGAAAACTGTGTAGCTCCATGTCTTAGAAAATTAGAGATTACTTTGAATCTCAGTGGGRAGAACAGTGTAAACTTTCCATGTACCAAAAGCCACAAATTATAAACTATATTGAAATACTTCAACTCGTGTTGTTGTGGCGCCATTTTGAATGCACAGGGRCCCCAATCGAATCATAATATATGACACCAGAGAAAAACATTTAGCGCCAAAGGTTTTACTTTTGAACTTCTTTCAATGAGGTTAGAGAAGTATGGCGTTTAAAATTCTTTGAAGCGTTTTCCTTATGTTTTGCCGTCGAGTTATAACAGTCTGGTGCATCTGGTGCTGATGACAGCTGTACTAGAAAAATGGCGCCACAACAACAGGAGTTGAAGTATTTCAATATAGTTTATAATTTGTGGCTTTTGGTACATGGAAAGTTGACACTGTTCTCCCCACTGAGATTCAAAGTAATCTCTAATTTTCTAAGACATGGAGCTACACAGTTTTCATGCAATTTCGTGAGTAAGCTTACAGTTAAACATGGGATCGCAAAGCCTCAGGTTAAATAAAGTTTATTATTATTATTATTATCAGCCATTTCATCTTCTTTACTTAACTTCTGTACTCACTCGTATATCAAGGGCAGATCCAGCCAAAATTTTAGGGGGAGGGGGGAGGGGCTAATTGAGTTTCGTCCCTCAACACAACGGAAAACAATAAAAAAGCATCTCATTCTTCAGTTTTGCTTTGTCTTGTTTTTCTGCTGAAGGGGGGGGGGGCTTCAGTCCCCCTTTCCCCCCTGGATCCGCCCTTGTATATAGATCCAGTTCTTTCATTAAAATTATTCGATCGGGGTAATATGGCCAAAAGATATACAAGCTTCTCTTGATATTGAAATGAGTCAAGTTTCTCGTTGTCCTTCGTGGATAACATAAATATTATTGACAACGAGGAGCTGATATATGCCCATGCATGTCTCTACGGCTCCGCAGGAAGTCAAAGTCGATAAACTCGAACAAAACGATAATTTCAATCGAAAGTTAAGAATTAATAAGCTTTGTTTTGGGATTCTAGTAATAGTTTTTTTGATTGAAGCACTTTTCGAAACCTTGAAATTATTTAGTTATCTAATATTGATTTGAAAGACTTGCCAACAAGCGTGACGGCGAGTGAAAAAACATCTGTATTCAAATTAGTCAAACGTCTTCATGTTATTGTAAAAATATGCAAATTTGACTTTGAAATATGCTTGACACTGGAAAACTTAAAGTCAGTTTTTGAAACTTAAGGCTGATTCTTTCCCATATTCTATTTATTAATACAGTATCTTGGTCTCACAGAAGCATTTTCACAAAATGTTTCGTATACTGGGAAAAAAAGAACAATTATTTTCTCACTAAGACTCTTCGAAATTCTTAGAAAACGCGTTGAAAGGTACGCATGCGCAAACTCTTTTCTCTAGTGTTAGAAAATACGAGCATTCGAGAGAAGCGTTGTTTGACGACCCTAACAGCGTCTGCGAAGAAGGCTAAGAAAGCTGCAACTTATTTTTAAAAGGATGAACGAATACAGAAAACTTTTGTCCAGGATTGCACACGAAATAACCGCCGACGAGCTGGTAACGATGAAGTTCTTGTGTACAGACTTCATCCCTTACACAATAACTCGGAAGGAAAATATTCTGAATGAAGTATTCCACTTCTTTTGTAAGCTCGAAGCAGAAAGTAGGCTCGGTATCGATAACTTAGATGGGATGAAGGACATGTTAACGCACTTAAAGAAAGAGGATCTAGCATTAGAAGTAATAGATTTTCAATGCGAGCGAGTATTATATCTATCTTCTCTGAATGCCGAGAGAGAAAGCGAAAGAAACCAGACAACTCGAAGCGAACAAGAAGAGAATCAGGAAGAAGAACAGAGACGACGAAGCGAACCAGAAGTTCGAGAAGAACAACAAGCAGCAGTGGGAAACCAGAGAGGCAGAGGTAAGTGACGATAGTTGAAAGTTAATAGTAACACTGCGTTGCGTAATCTACTGAAAACGATTGTTGGTAGCCAAACACATCTAATATGTACATAAATAACACGACGAACGGCGTTCAGTCGTGTAGAATAAGATAGATACTTTTATTTAAACAGGGTTATCCTATCAGTAAAATACAATAAATTTACTGTTATCAACAGGAGCCCTAACTAAAGAAAAATAAAACAAAAGAAATAGACTAAAATAAAGGCTTCGATACTGTACCTTCATTTCACTACTTTCTCTCGAAATTAAGAGGCAATGTCCACAAGAATCAAGCAAATGGTGGCAAGAGTACTAACAATTAAAATGGAGAGAACACATTGACGTAGTATGTAAATAAACGAGCAGACGCCTAGGTTTGCTCTCATGAATTTGACCTTACATCACACTTTTATCATGTGGAAAGCGCTTGCAGATCGAGTTATTCAAGACGAAGTTGTAGTCGTTTTAATGCGGCTAGGTGTGCCAGACCAAAACTACCCAGAGCCTCCTTAAGGCTTCGAAAACTGTTTAAAACTGCTTAGTTCAGTTAATTTTTAATTATACTGACACTGTGTGGGGAGAGCTATCCGCTGGCTGTAGCAAAAATCTCAAAAGCATTCAAAACCGAGCTGCACGCATAATCCTGCGTGAATACTTCAAAGGAAGCATTTGACATTTTAGAGGCATGGTTTGACTTCTTACATGAAGCGTGCCCAGCTAGACTGCATTATTCAATTCATAAAAAGATTTTTGGTCGTTCTTATCTTCCGAGAATGAAATCAAATTCAATTCCAAACATGGAAATTTGATTGGATTTCTTTTCAGCATTTGTACAAGTTTGTAACTGTTGAAGTTCTTCAATATAAGATTCGGGCCAGCGATTACGCAGATTTACAAAAATAAATCATATGTCTCTCACAATAACTTCAAATCAATCGAAATATCTAAACACAATACCACATTTATATTGCTTGTCGATATTATTTTTTTAAATCTCAAATGGTGAAAACCGTTATACAGTTGCTGATTAATGTTAGGAATGCGAGCTTGTGACCTTAGCCAGTTTCCCAGAAAACAAGCGTTACGCTAACGCTTCGATTCAAATATTGACGCTCTACTTGTTTGTTTAGACTTCTTTACTCGCTCAAAAGTTTATTTGATCAATTAAATCGATGAAAAAGGTGCTGATTGTGAACACGGCAAAACAGAACGCAAATGTGGGTATTTGAGTGTCATTGAGTGGTTTATATTTGTTCGCAAATATTTCTCACGTCAAACCACAGGCAACCCAAGCTCACTATATAAGAGAATGTATGGGAATTTAGAATATGCCGTATTTTATTTGGAAAAACGCGAATAAAAGTTTTATCGACTTACCTGTTGTGTCAATTTGTTTATTTTGAACTCCTGTATGCAGTTTCAGCTAGTTTTGTAGGGTATTTAAGAAAAAAATTCCAACACTTAGAAATAATGACAAGGTAGGAAGCTGCCGACCCGAATTCGCTGTCACTAGTGTCCACTTCGAACCGTTTTTCTCAGTAAATACGAATACGATGAGGGAATGGCTTCACATGAGCACGAAGGAATAGTTTACCAATAAATCTGTGTGATTCAATTGGATCTAGCTGTAGCTACGAACTAGCAGTCCTCCCTTAAACTTTAAAAAGTTACTCCAATGAACGCCTGCGAATCCGTGAGGACGGCTGATCGCCCACCTTTCACAGACAAGGACTAAAAACCATACAAAATTTCACGCCACTCGTAGAGGGGGGGGGGGTCCGGAAAATATTTTGTTCAGCATTGTTCTTGTTAACCAGTCATGCGCCGTATTCTGTTGACCTCCCTCCCAGAGTGGACGATCAGTCGTCCTTGATTAGTTATCATTGATATATCAGCACGTGACTGTTTGTTGCAAAAGGCCTTTTTAAGGGTTAAATTTGTGGGTCTTGGACCGAGCTAGAAGCAAATGTCACCCAATATTTGTCCATTCATTGACAAACCGATTTTGATCAAACAATTTCAGGTACCATACTGATGCGGTGCGCTCCTTACATAGCAGGAGTTGCGTGGGTAGTTGGATCAACGTACATCCTAAATCTTCATAAGAAGGACCCTGAAGCCCTGGTGAATCTGGTTACTAAAGTGGTTTTACCTACCGGTAACTTAGTCAAGTCAATTTTTCCTGGTTCCATCAACCTTTTAATACAAGCTACGGATTTAAACAGCCTTAAGGAGTTGTGGAAAAGGTAGAGAAGTACTCATTATTAATGTCAAATCATTAATTCAAGGCGCGAAAGAGAAAGACTTCTTTCCCTGCACAAACATGTTTTCCATAATTAAATCCTTTCACTGACGTAGACGACAGCTCCCATTTAAAATTTAAAACATCAAAAATGTATTTTTTTTAGAGGGGGTAAGAATTAACCTTGAGGTGCCCTGCCTTCTTTGGGCCTGTAATTCACTGATTACTTTTTGAAGCAAACAAGCTTGCAATGCTAAACGAGCGAATGTGAGCTTGTAGATTGCCCTTACAGGATATTATATTCGTTTCAAGGCATTCAAATGATACTAAAACTCGAACAATCTTCCCTTATATTTAACTTTCAATGTTCAGTGAACGGAATTCTTAACCTCGGCTGAGCCTTGAACTTCAGTAGCCAACGAAAACGAACATGCGTAGATATCAATTCGCGACACGTGATATGGAGCCACAGCCCCGCCCCCAGCCAATCATTTTGTTAACATAATCGTAATAATCATCAACTTTCACTCAGTAACAGATTAGATTATATACTGGATCTCTTTAGCGTATGCCCGTGACGGCATCCTGTTTAATGACTCGAAGACTCCTGGGTACTATTGCGCAATTTTTCCGATTTATCGAGGAGGAAAAAGAAAACTGAAAAAAACAAACGCATTTTTAGAATGGGCTGCCACATTGTGACCAAATAGTTAGTAAACCTAAAATGTAGTGTGTGTATAAGAAGCTTCAAGACAATCTCTTTAGCTTTTATCAATGATTTTCGTAGATACCAAAGTAGTCGACTAAAGGAAGACCTCCAGAAAGTGATGGTAACAGAAGAACTAAAGAACCTGGCCAATGATGAGCCAATCGATCTGGTGGTGACGATGAGTGAAGAAGAATACAGGAATGCTTGTCTTGATCTGATGGTTGCACATACAAAAGGTAAAGGGATCCGACCAGCGAATATACAGAAAGGGATCCAAGGTTATACCATCATACATTTTATGCCATGTAAATATGTACCAACAAAGAGAACGAGAACGAGGACGAGAACGATAACAATGATAATAATAATGATAATATTAATAATAAAAAAAAAAAAAAAAATAAGGGGGGTGGGGGGAGCCATGCTAAATGAACTCTCGCCTAGTGTTGCATAAGACTTATATGTAGGAATATTTAAACGTTATTCATTAACAGATCATAGAGGCCGTATCTAGTACCGTTAAAGGAAACAACTTGTCATTTCTCTGTTTACTTTCACACAACATTCAGTTCCTTAATATTATTTCTCATGATCCTCACGATTGTCTCCTGGAAGCCATACACTCTCAAAGCCTTCTACAAAGAGTCTTGGCGTACACTATCAAATGCGGCTTTAAAATCAATAAAACTGATTTTAACTGGCAGTTGCATCTCCAGACTCTTTTCAATCAGTTGTCTCAATGCAAAGCATTGGTCAACACATGATCTTCCTGCTCTAAAACCAGCTTGATTGTCTCTGCAGAGGCGCTCGTCAACAGAGTCTCTGATACGCAGAAAAATGATTGCGAGTGCCAGCCACGCTTAGCAAAGTGTTGCCACAGTTTGGGAGGGAGGGGGGGGGGGGTCAACTAATCAACAACATTTCGGCTGTAATCTCATAGCCTGGCGCTTTGTTGGTCTTTACTGCAGTTTCGACTTCGCTTCTCAAGATCTTCCCATTCAGCATTAACAGTTATGTCTATGTCATCCTTTTCTCGTGGGTCTCCTGTATTCAACAGATCTCTAAATCGCTCAGCCCACCTCTCTAGTCTACCCTTCTCGTCATTTATGATATTACCATGTTTGTCCTTTACAATTAGTATGCTTCTCCCCTGTGAGGATGTTGACATTTTTAAATACTTCCCTCTAGTTTTTCTTTAGGGCAGCTTCTTCAAGCTCTGCTGCTCGTCGATTCGCCCACCTTTTCACTCTCTTGTCTGCCTCCCTCACTTTTCCTAATCTATCTCTCATTGTCTTGGCTGTCCTTCGCTTATCGATTAGTTCTTCTGTTTCTGCACAGATCCATTTATGTTCTTTAAGCTCGAAACTAACAGTTTCTTCGGCAGCATTATAGGACTTCCTTCTTAAACTTTACCACTCATACTACGGGTCAGGATCCGATGAAAGATCTGACAGGGCATGAAAACGGTTAGATATCTTCACTTTGATAATCTTGCGCGAACTGTGGTAGTAACAAGGGCTCATTCTTCAGTTTAGGCTTCTGTTTTCTTCCGTGCAGCGCTAGCTTCAGTTGGACCTTAGCTAACAAGAGATCATAGTCACTGCCTGTATCTGCACATCTATATACTCGCACATCCAGCAAACTTCTTCCTCCATTTACCATTGATCATTACATGGTGTATCTGGTTTCGTGCGTTTCCATCCGGGGATACCCAAGTACGTTGTTTTGTGAATATTCTTATGTTGAAAAAGTGTCCCACCTATAAGCATTCCATTTTCTGCACAAAACTCGGTCAACCTAGGGTTAGTTTTTTAAGAGGTCTTGACACGCCATTTACGCTCGGCATTACGTCTCGCCCTAATTAATGCAAGCTTTTTTTATTACTCTGATATTAATATATTTGTATTATTTCTTTAATTGTAGCGCAAACCTTGTGGAAAAGGGTGATTTCATCTAAACCTTCCCGACTAGCCTCTCGCTCCTTACCGGATCTGACGTCACTTGATACCAATCACGATTGGTCACGTGGTTTGCTCTTGGAACAACTGTCTGACGATATGAAGAGAATAAGACAAAATGAAAGAAAGGATGAGAAAATCCAAAAAAACCTCTTAACGTCTGTAGAGAGTGTTTCGCTTCTTATACAACAAATCAAGTCAATTGAATCTGAAATCAATGAGTTAGAAGTTTCTATAGGCAAATCGCTTCCCGAGAAGCGCAAAGGGATATTTCATCGGTATCGACTTGAAGAATTTGAAACATCACGGGAAATGTACTATGATCGTATGCTTGGCAATCTTTCTTTTAGTTGTTTTGTAGTTCTGCTCGAGAAAGTGAACGCATTTTTGGAGAATGGGCGATTTTTATTACAACCTGAAGAAGCCGTTAAACGTCTGGGCTTGTTTGCATGGCAATTAAGACGTCAAGGATATAAGAGTTCTTGGTATACTGAATTCCAACGTTGGTCTCGCCAATCCACCTTTTACACACTAGGTCAATCCATACGTTCTTTAGTAATTAATCTCGCTTTCAAACTGAAAGATTTGGCAGCACTGTTGGTGAAAATGTTCATACTGGATCCAAAACTATTAAAAGGTATGACGGCAATCGATCAATGCGGTATATTTTAATCATGCTCAAGTCTTGGTGTTTGCAATTAGGGCAGCTTTTTGCGCTTGAATTGAAAATCGACATTTCTGCTGACTTGCTTATAAATCATCTAACTTTTTATAATATGATGTATCCCATGGAAATCTCGCTCAATACACCTTTCTACTGATACGGCGGCCACCTTGAATTATGGGAAATCTATAAAGCATAAAGTGACTGGGTTACTTTTTTCAAATAATTTATTCTTGGTGTTTCACATTTCATTTCCTCTACCAGCAAGTTTATTGCTTTTAGCATGTGCTTCTCATTTGAAAAGGGTAAAGAATTTATATAAAAAGACATCCTGACAGCTGTGCAGTCTATATATGTTCCAATAGCTGTCCCCTTGACATCCCATAATGTCTTGATTAAAACAATAGAATTCAAAATGGCCGCTCTATCGCTAAAAAAAGTCTATTGACACCCAAACCCGGTGTATGTAATATTGTTACTATATAATGAGCGACA